TCATAAATTACATTGCAGCACTCATTTTGGGGAACAAATTCCATGAAACTGAAAGAAGAAACAGAATCAAATTGTCGACTATATTATTCAAGTTATTGCAACAGCACGTTCCAAGTACAAAAATCAGTATTCAACTGATAAGTTTTGAATCATCTCATGCATGGACTCAACAGCATTTTCATTTTACATAAGCCTTGCAGCAAAATAAAGAAAGAAAAAAGAAAAACGAAAAAAGATTAACAACCTATGAGTTGGACATTAGGGATGTCCTGATCTGCATATACATTGACAATGAACACCACATTAACAATTGAAAGGAACTTGAAAATGTCGATCTGTTGAAATCACCAAAAAACGAATTACCCACAAATATACATGAATTTGAGGTGCAAGCAAGAAAACCTTAGTAGCCTGAACTTTGCTCCACTGCCAATCATTTCAATGTATAAGTTTTACTTGATGAGCTAAATGTCACCTACGGCCTTAGTACTGAAACTTGATCGAGCAAAGGCATCATTTCTTGAAAAGAGCTCAAAGCTTTCCCCAGCTGATTGATTCCGCCTCAAGCCAAGAACACCGTTCTCATTACCAAGGTTCTTCTGCTGACCTCTCCCACGGTTAACGTATCTTTTGCTACCAAATCTACGACTAGAAACGCTACTTCCTGGTTTTGATTCAGGCCTTTCAACCACATCAGCCTCTCCCCAAACTTCAGACTCCCCATCAACACCAGTCATGCTCATAAGTTCCATCAAGTTGCTGCTGAAGCCCAAATCTGAATAGACTCTGCGTGAGTCCTTCATTGTTTGCCTGCCAAAATTACCGTCCAAATTCTCCTGAGGATTTCTGAATTCGACAGGTCGCCCCACTGTTTCCACCATCAAACATGGATTGCTAAATCCATTCCATGAATGTAGAGGAACCAATTTGCTCAACCCAGTTAACCAACCAACCACCTCTTTCATTGCAGGGCGGCGCTCCCTGCAAGACCTCACACATTTAGCTGCTATGACAGCCAACTGCTTCCTAACGATAGGATCCTTAGGAGGTGCAATCCTTGGATCATAAACAGCAACAATCTTCCCTTTCTTTACAAGAGGAATTGCCCAATCCACAATAGAAGGCGGTGAATGTGCAACATCGATAGCTTTTCTACCGCTTATAATCTCTAACAACAAGATCCCAAAACTAAAAACATCAGTTTTTGTACTCAAATTATCTGGGGTCACATAACAAGGATCAAGATACCCAATAGTACCAGCTGGTGGGGTTGATCTAAGCCTGTAATCATCAACACCACACCTGAGTGCCAAACCAAAATCACCCAATCTTGCATTGAAATTCCTATCAATTAACACATTTGCAGATTTAACATCTCTATGAATAATTGGAGGCTTTTGTGAGTGAAGTGTCTCCAAGGCTTTGGCAACTTGCAAGGCTAATCGAATTCTTCGACCCCAATACAAAGGCCGTGACGAATTAGAGTGAAGAACATCATATAATGTGCCATTACTCATAAATTCAACAACCAACAAACGATCTTTAGTGCCATTAGTAAAGCCAAGAAGGTTCACCAATCTGGGACTTTGAATCGTTGACAAGATTTCGATCTCGTTATCAGCTTCCGGGTTGGTTTCTTGGTTTCTTGAAGATGGTTTCTTGATGGCAACGTGGCGTCCCCTGATAACAGCCTTGTAGACACAGCCATGGCTACCTTTGCCTAGAAGCCTTTGGTCAGAGAACCCATTGGTGGCTGCTTCAAGGTCACCGTAATCAAACTGTTGGATCTTGATGGGTTTGTCCTGCTTGTTGGTGGCAGTTTTGCAAGATGAATTCTGGGTGGTTGTGGAGGTGGAGATTATGGAGATTGCTGATTCTGCTTTGCAAGAAAGGTAACCCATCAAAAAAGTTTCTTCCTTTTTTTCGTTCTTTCTTTTTTGGATCCTCAAGAGACTCTTGTGAAATGGGAAATTTGACGGTTTCACCAGAAATATGAATCAAAGAGTCAATATTTTGATCATTTCATGGCTGTGCTGCCAATACATGAAGAGGGAAAAAGTTGAAGGCTTTTTTCTATCTTGGAGTGAAGGAGGGGCTTTTGGGATTTGCAAAAATATTGCAGCGGCCAGTGCTTTGGCCTTTTATGTGGTGTTGGAAAGAGGAGAAAATTTTTGGGATATGGCCAGGGTGATGAGATTAACACAGAGCCCAACAAATTGGAATCCCAAGGAATTTTTAACCCCATAATTATGCCATGAATTGTGTATGCTCTGCCTGTTGCTGATATTTTAATTTTGTTGATCATTACATCAGATTAGCTGTATTTTTCTAGGCACTAGATTTAGTCAAACATTTAGTTTATGCAGAACCCCCAAGATAAACGTCTGATCACCAAGTCAATTTTGATACGCCAACGGTTCAAAGTTACCAAGGAAGAGCAGTAAAATGGAAAATTACACATCGGATTTGGATGTAGATATGTGGTTTACATCCACTCTCTTTCCCGCCCTTTTCTCTTTCCAGTGGATTCCAAATACAAAGAATATACCTTGATTACAGACTTGCATTTGGACAAATGAAGATGTTAACTTGAGACAGAAAATGTGTATCTGTAAAATAAATGATTCAAGTTCTTCTTTAAACTCTTCAATTGCACTGTTTCCCCACTTTTAAGATTCTTCTGTTTTGTCTTTCTGTTCTTCCCCTTTCTTTTTTCCTTTTTTCTCTTTTGAATGATTAAAGTGAAGAGTCTTGAAGCAAGAGAACAGTTACTACTTACCATCTAGGGGTCTGGGACATCCCCACTGAGGATATAAATTGTGTTTTCTTTTCTTCGGGGGCAGGCTCTGGCAAGTAAATTACTCCATTGCTGGACCAAAATGCCTTTTGAAAGTGGGCACCAAACCAACCATTTGTGAAAGGTGCACCTTAACGAAATCAAACTTCTTAAACCCTAAATCTTGAATCTTGAATTGTCACACGAGGAGTGTTCATGATTCAATTTCTTTTAAATGATTAACTGGCATCTATATCTAAATTATTGCTCTCAATTTTTGGTTTTGGATCACACTGTCCATGTTCCTTTTATATGTTAAAGTCACAACAGTTAGTTGCAATTAGCATTAAGGTAACAAACAGTTGTATGCCACTTGGCGCAGAGGCTTTTTCATGGTGCCGGGACAGAAACGACACAGACAGTAAACTCATCAATTAAAACTAATTTAAATGTTTGAAGCACAGAGAAATAAATGAGACAGAGCTGTACCAAGTTCCCTTCTCTCCAAACCCAATCTTGTATTTCCTCGTGAGTCGTACCTTGCCATTGTGGGATAGTGACTTTGGAGAAGACAGGGTGGGGTAGGATGGACGGTGCACGGTAGCTTCCATCACATTAAAAGCTCAGTGAAGTTTAAACTGTTTCACCTTCTTCTGAAACTTTAAAACCGCAAAATGATCGAAGTGTTCACGAGGTTTTCACCAGGTACCACTAGCAGCCGACTCTAAAGAAATTATAACCCAAAATTCTGAATGGCAAATACCTTGTATTCCCATGGTTTCACACATTCTTTTTCAATGACATTGATCGATCTTCACCCTCAATGGGCAGCAAAAGATTTGCGGGTTCTGACTTCACATGCAAACAGCTTGTGCTCGATTTGGATTGATCCAACTATCATATATCAACGAACATATACTACAAGAAATGTTTGATGGTGCCTTTAGTGCTGTTTCCTGCGAATTCTTATTGTCGTGAGAACAAAGTTTGAATAGTTCTTGTCTTTGAAATTCTTATCTACTTGTCATTGTATTGCTTGGAGGCTTCCTTGGGAAGAAAAAGTTGTTTGTTTTTTCTGTTCTTTTCTTCTCTTTTGCTGCCATGGCAGAGAAGTGGATTCAATATTTCCATGTCCTGGGCTCTTTTTCTGAAGAGGGAAAGGCATCAAATTCAACAAGTTACTGCTACAGGCTATGGCCCATTCCAGGCTGCTGGCAGGTAATTTCATTTCTTCAGTCTTTCATGGCCAAAAGCAAGAAGTTTAACATACACAGGATACTTTCAGCATGCGAAAAAAGGTATATCAATGAAAGCCTCGTGCCTGTTTTCCAGGCTTTGCCATTCTTCTCTAGTGAGAAGCTCTTCATGTTGCCTCATACTACTATTTAACAAGGTTGTATGTGAATCATGATTCAACTTTTTTGAAGGGAAAAACCAAAAGGTGAAAGAAAGATTGAAGTTGATTGAAAGGGCATCAACACAACACCCTCCTTTATGTCGTTCTGTAATTAAAGAGCAGGCAGGACTTGACAGGCTTGGTACATCGTAAACATTGTCACCTCTCAGGTCTAATCCATTTGAGTCCAAGTCTAGACAAAGTAAGAACTATAACAAAAGAGATCAGCTTGGGCCAAAATTAAAAAATCCAACAATGATTGGGCTAGACCCTTAATTGGCCTGCATCAACCCAACTTGAACTGGACTGACATCTTCATGAAGAGTTTTGCTGTTAGAACACAGGACTGCAAAGTTAATATTATAAATTTTGTCTACAAGGAAATGTTGACCACCCAGAGTTTGCTTCATTCCTTACTTAGAATTAGAAATGGTGTGATGGGCTCTGTTAAGTACCCCATTTCTTACTTATGTAAAGTATCACGTCAATAAAGATTCGGTAAATTTTAATATCACTACTTACATATTATTTATTTTTTATAATTCAATAATTTATTTAAGAATTGGAGTCTATCAGCAAATTCTACTTTCTCCTCTAGACTTGGTTTTATTTTAATCGGATACAGTCTGACTAGCAAGATTTTTTAAACTTTTCTAATCCAACTTTGATTTTTTTACTAATTACTAATTAATTAAAGAACAGTTTTTGAAAAATGACCATAACTTTTTAATATAAAAAAACAGAAATATTAACGACTTGGTGTCTTAAATGATTAAACTAGTTATATCACACCGACCTGCCAATAAATAATTAATTGGATAGCAGACCTTACCAATCTAATGTTATGGATTTAATTAAATTGAAAAACAAGGCTAATCCGATTTATAATTTAATAACAACAATTATTAAATATTCTGTTATGTATTTGACTTCAGAACAGAGTCCGATCAAACTCGGAACCTTCTAATCCGCCGACTAAAGCCGCAGTACTTTTTGAGTTGCATTTTTCAACAAGGCGCCCACTTCCGCGTACTCTTCAAACGCTCTAACATCCACCTTGCATCGCGTGAACTGTGGGATGAACAGCCAGAGGCCGGTGCTCAGCACGAACCCCACTGTCAACGGTCCTGTGACTAGCCACGGCGGCTGGCACTTGCTGTTCAATGCCTTCTTGAAAGCAATCTCTGCTGTCAAACAGAATCCATGGATGAGAAAAAACCAAGTCACCTCCCCGGTGGGAGTCATCCGCCCCAGGTAGTAGAACATTAGCTCGTGCATGATAGCGGATACTGCAAACGTGGAGAAAACAGATGGGATCGGAGCCCACTTTCTGCCGATCAGAGTCGAGGAAAATCTGAGGGTAGGTTCGTACACCGTGGGGCGAAGGATACTGGTCACCATCAGGTTCCATCTTTTGCCCCAAAAATCTTGCAGTGAGGTTGACAGGTACGGCTCATTGAATTGTGGCTCCAACTCTAGTCCCGAAAGGGATCGAACCATGGCTGCACCTGTGGCTAGGATGATCTCGAGGAGGAAATATATGTGCATAGAGTAAAGAAGCATAATGATCTTTGGGTGTATGTACTCGCTGTAGTCATAGACCCGTACAATCATGGCCAAAAGTATACCCTTTATAGCATAGTTTACAGGGCCTTCCTTGGATTTTCTAGTGGATGAATTTTCTTTCTCATGGCCGTTCTGATGTGATGTTGATGATGGTTTTTCTTTAATTTGGCCATTTAGCTGTGATTTTGGAGGTTGGTTGTGTTGGATCTTGATTGGCAGGCAAGCGACGGTCACAAAAAGTGGAAAAGAGGTAGGTGCAGTTAAAGGACCTTTATCAAAAGCAAATAGTAAGAGCTTGAAGTTACCAAGCCAAGCAATGAAAAAGGCTGTGACACCGCCAAGATGCGGCGAGGAGAGTTTGAGAGGGAGGAAGAGATAGAGAGACACGACAGGGAGTAGGAAAATGAGTCTTTTGGTTCCTTTTGGAACAATCTTGCCAATGGCGTAGCAGAAGCATAGAGATGTCAAGACAGACAACCATACCTTGATGAAGCTGCTGATCTCACCTTCCATTTGCTTTAACTGTCTTTAGTATCTTCCTGATCTTTGGTTTGTGTCCAATATGAACTTGACAAGCAAGGTCCCTTTCTTTATCCTTTGAAATACTCTGATTCAGATTAATAAGCAGAAGGAAAGAGAACAGAGGTATGGACTATGGAGGCAGAAGCAATGAGAGAGTCCCCCCAGTTTTAACTTTGGGGATCTTAGTTCTTTCAGAGTTAAATTCCTTTTTTTGGTCAGAACACAACACATGCAGTCAAAAATGTTGTCATATATTTCTAGAAGGTATGGTCTTTGTCTTCCCTGTGAATAGAAAAATGTACACTTGGTTGGTAGAAATTTCCATTCTAGCACTTTTTGTTTGAAGGCGCCCCATAAAATTATTATTTTTACCAACTCAGATTATTAAAAAAAGTCTTAATTAGTGCAAATTGAAGTTTATTTACGAATCCAATTTGACCCATACAAGTTCCTGTGTTGGTTTAATGGCTACTGACTCGTTTTATCTTTGCAAGTTTACTAAAATCTGGGTGATGTTTCTGGCTGCACCTCAGATAGGACCAAATCTGAGACAACCCTTGCAAAAGCTCCATATAGAGAAAGTCAACAACTGCACATAAAATCAATCTCAGCATAATAACCCAAAGTCAGGACAAGGTAATATAAGAAAAACAACTACCAAATGATTAACTTGGGCTGTTTCTGCAGTCTCCACATGGTACATTTTATAAGGACTTTCACTTTCCTTCTGGCTCTTGTTACAAATCATCATGTTTATAACACTTAGCATTACATATTCAATGATTCTGTATGATTCCAACATTTTACAAAGTATAGCAACAGATACTTATGATGAAAGTTATTCGCAATGACTGATGTTTAAATTGGGAAGTGTTCAGTTGCCAATCTATCTCTACGAGACTGCAATCCAGTGAACCTTTAACCCTGTTTAGAGCTGTTTGACTGTGTTGCAACAATGTTAGGGAGCCATCAATATCATCAACTTCCTTTGTCAAGTCATTATTCTTCCTTTTTCGAGGCAATTTTCTCGAGAATCTTTTCCATTTGGATTCAAACTCACAAGCTAAACACAAGAGAAGGAAACATCAATTGTTTTATGTGTTTTAACTTGTGCTATAGATCATACTGGAAATCACAAGTAAATCTAAAGAAATAGGTCAGACTAGTAAGTTTCACAGTGAGAAACACCAAAAGCTACAAACTCTTTTTACCTACTTTTAGGATTCCATTTGCTTGAGTCCTAGATACAAGCTGAGAACCTTTTATTTTGCTGACAAAATCCGAACTACCTTTTCACTTGCATTTTTCAACAAAGTTCCCACTTCCGCATACTCTTCAAACGCTCTGACATCCACCTTGCACCGCGTGAACTGTGGGATGAACAGCCAGAAGCCTGTGCCCAGCACGAACCCAACTGTCCACGGTCCCGTGACTAGCCGCGGCAGCCGGCACTTGTCATTCAATGCCTTCTTCAGAGCAATCTCCGCTGTCAGAAAGAATCCATGGATGAGAAAAAACAACGTCACCTCCCCGGTGGGAGTCATCCGCCCCATGTAGTAGAACATTAGCTCGTGCATGAGAGCAGAGACTACAAACCTGGAAAAAACAGATGGGATCGGAGCCCACTTTCTGCCGATCAGAGTCGAGGAAAATCGGAGGGTAGGTTCGTACACCGTGGGGCGCAGGATACTGGTCACCATGAGGTTCCATCTTTTGCCCCAAAAATCTTGTAGTGAGGTCGACAGGTACGGCTTATTGAACTGTGGCTCGAGCTCTAGCCTTGAAAGGGATCGAGCCATGGCTGCACTTAACGGCTAAGATGATCTCGAGGAGGAAATACATGTGCATAGCGTAAAGAAGCAATATGATCTTCGGATGCATGTAGTCGCTATAGTCATAGACTCGTACCATAATGACCAAAAGCAGACCCTTTATGGCATAGTTTACAGCGCCTTCCTTGGATTTTCTAGTAGATGAATTTTCTTTCTCATGGTGGTTCTGATGTGATTTTGATGATGGGTTTTCTTTAACTTGGCCATTTAGCTGTGATTTTGAAGGTTGGTTGCGCTGGATCTTGATGGGTAGGCAAGCCACAGTCAGAAAAGTTGGAAGAGAGGTTTGTGCAGTCAAAGGACCTTTGTCAAAGGCAAATAGTAAGAGTTTAAAGTTACCAAGCCAAGCAATGAAAAAGGCTGTCACACCACCAAGATTCGGCGAATAGAGATTGAGAGGGATGAAGAGAAAGAGACACACATCCGGAAGTAGGAAAATGAGTCTTTTGGTTCCTTTCGAAACCAACTGGCCAATGGCGTAGCAGTAGCATAGAGATGTCAAGACAGATAACCAGACCTTGATGAAGCTGCTGATCTCACCCTCCATTTTGCTTGTGTGTTGTATTTAATTGTCTTTAGTATCTTCTTGATCTTTGGATTGTGAGAAATATGAACTTAGACATGCAAGATGCCCTTCTTTATCCTTTTGGATACCCTTATCTAGATTAAGAAGCAGAATGGAAGAGTGAAGTATAGAATATGGTGGCAGAAGCGATAAGAGAGTCCCCCAAATTTTCACTTTGGGGATCATAGTTCTTACAGAGTTAAATTTCTTTTCTTGGTCAGCACACAACAAAGTCAAATCTGTCATGAATTATCAAAAGGTAGAAATATCCTTCTGCAGCTAACTTTCACTAGGACCTCCCAACAAAAATTAGTTATTTTAGAAATTTTGTTTTATGAATTTGAGCCAGACACGTTTCCTGTGTTCATTTAATGAATACTGAGTCGTTTTATCTTTGCAAGTTTACTAAAATTTGGGTGATGTTTCTGACTGGATCTCAGACAGGACCAAATCTGAGACAACACTTGCAAAAACTCAATTGCATAGAAAGTCAACAAACCAATATAAACTGAATAACCCAGACTCAGGACGAAGTAATAAAAGAGAAACGGCTACCCGGGCTTTTTCTGCAGTCTACACATGGTAAATTTTATGATGGTAATCATCCTTCAGTTAAAGAGAAATACATTATTTAGATAATCACCAGTAGGACTTTCACCTTTCCTCTGGCAATAGTTACAAATCATCATGTTTATAACAATTAGCATTACATATTCAATGATTCTTTATCATTACAACATTTTACAAAGTATAGCAACAGAAATTTATGATGAAAGTTACTGACAATGACTAAGTTAGGAAGTGTTCAGTTGCCAATCTATCTCTAAGTGACTGCAATCCAACGAACCTTTAACCCTGTTTAGAGCTGTTTGCCTGTGTTGCAACAATGTTAGGGAGCCATCATCACCATCAACTTCCTTGGTCAAGTCACTATTCTTCCTTTTGCGAGGCAATTTTCTTGAGAATCTTTTCCATTTGGATTCAAACTCACAAGCTAAACACAAGAAAAAGGAAACATCAATAGTTTCATGTGTTTTAACTTGTGTTATAGATCATAGTGGAAATCACGAGAAAATCTAAAGACATAGGTCAGACTAGCAAGTTTTACAGTAATAATTACCGAAGGCTACAAACTCCTTCACCTACTTTTAGGATTCCATTTGCTTGAGTCCTAGAATAACAAGGCAAAAGCATTCAACTAATGTTACATTCATCGGTATGAATTAAATATTGTCAAATGATATTTCTGATGAAAGATTAAGGGTAGTATTTAATCTATCTAACAAAGTGATGCTGGCAACTAAATACAATTGTATCAAAACACATAATTTATCCTAGAAATTTCAAACGTTAGGACATAGCTATAGCCTTGAGCCGTTTTTACAGGAACACTGGTTGTACATCAAAGACCTTGTTGGGTAAATGTAGCATCTTACAGAAGATACTATGAAGAAACGTATAATTTTTCAAATTGTCCCAAGATCAATGAAAAGGAATTAAATAAATGCATTCATCTAGATGAATTTATAGACTAGCAAGACAAAGTCTTCAAGATAACAGGAGCTGGTGGTAAGAAAAAGATGAAATTATCAAGAAGAAGACCAGTTGAACTCAGAATACTTCAGAGATCTCATGAAGTGAAATTTTTGCAGTCCAATTCATAGAAATAAGTCAGTGCATTCTCATAGAAAACAAACACTTGAGATACTTTTGCAACAACCAGTTTCATACACCCTTGACAAGAAATGAGAGACGATATAAACATGGGAAATACCTTCACTTTGGTCATTGAAACCTCGAATTATGCATGCACAAATCCATGGCCGTCCGGCGCGGGATGCTTTTGCACCACCTTTAAGTTCACCATTATGTTGTTTCAAACTGTGTATCAAAGCTCAATATTTAGCTGCTCAGTTTCTTATGAAAAGCAGAGCGATATGCCCAAAGCAGAGTCATTTGAAGGTTGCAACTAGCAACAATCATAATCAAAGTTGACAAGTTTTCAAAAGATAAGCTTATGTAAAGCAAATCACCCATCTGCAAGAGAAATTACATCAAATAAAGCAATTTGAACCAGCAATCAAAATTACACGTAAACGAATTAGACCCGGATAGGGATTTCAGATTCAATCAGAAGATAAAGCTTAATAAGATTGGAATATAAGAAAATGATTATCGTACCGGCGAGAGAAATCGGTGGTGACCCCAACGTAGGTTTTGACGGGGGCATTGGTGGAAAGAATCAGGTAAACGCACCATGATTTTGTTTTCGATTTTGCAATCGGACTCGACCCTGGGGACAACGACGATGATGGTGGGTGTTTCACAGAACGGAATGTTGTTGTGAGCAGCCTCATCATCTTGGGATTTTTATAGTCAAGGTTAAGATCAAGCTTTGCCCTTTATTTCCGTTCCCGCGGGTCAAAATCCTGTTAAACAGTTCGGTAATGGTTGGTACTTTTCCATTCCCAATTTTTTAATAAAAAAATTCTAAAATTTGAGAACAGATTATTGCAGATGCTAGTCTTGTAGTATTAGGAGAGATTTACCAGAAAGGGCTTGGATGTAAGGACCATTGATCTTGATAAATGGACTGTGTCGTATCTTGTGCCAGTCTGCTCCCGTGCCTTTCTTATAGCGCATTTCCAAGCGAGGACAGCCACGAATCAACAAAACTGGAGAGCAGTGAGGCGCTGCATTGATTGCGGGAGGCGTAGCAGATTCTCACAATAGCAAAGCTCCATTTCTCTTAGTGCAACAAGGTTTCCCAGCCACTCAGGCAGAGTTTCCAGGGCTGGACAACTGAATGTGTTCCATGTTAGGAGACATGTAAGGTACTTGATAGCCTCTGGCAAGGCTGCTAAATTTTCACAATCAGAGAACGAAACATGTCGAAGAGAGTTTAATCTTGTCATTCCTCCTGGCATTGAAACTAGACTATCACACCTGTCTATCCACAAAGACTCGAGTGAACTGTGGCCGCTCAACTCTGAAAATGATTCCAACTCGGGGCAATTGCTAATGGTTAAAGATTGAAGGGGACCAAGAGTTTGAAGCTCACCTGAGAAAGATCTAAGCTCCAGACAGTCCCTGATTTCAAGAGACAACAAGGATGGGTTGCCTTTTAGCAACCCTTGAGGCAACTGTACAAGCTCTGCGAATCCACTGATTATCAAATCGGAAAAAGTGGTGATCCTTGTTACCATCCTTAGTAAGTCTATGCTGCAATCATCGAGTTTCATTGATGCAGCAGAAGGAAGCTCTGGTAACTCGCCCAAATTTGGTCACCCATCAATCACCAATTGCTTTAGGCTTGGAAGTATAATTGTCCTTCATTAGTTGCCCATCCCAATAAATTGCTCATGTTTTCGATGGACAGTGTTTGCAGTGATACAAAGCCATTACCACCAGCATTTCCCTGTAAATCGCTGCAGAAGGACATTGTGGCCTCCATCTCATTGATTGTGAGAACCTCAAGAGCTGGTAGCTTCTGTAGCAGAGGAAGCTGAACACACCTTTGGCATTTAATTAAGGAGAGCTCTACAAGATTTGTAAGACATGGATTCATCAACCAACTAGGAAATTTTTAGCCCACATAATTCTTGATTTCCAACTTTTTTGGTTCAAAACTTGGCTGAAAGCCTTCAATAACATGCTCAACGTTTTCTTTAACATGCACCTCATCAGCATGCTCCCACCATAATTTCAATGACTGCAGGCTCCACTTCTCCTTCAAGTTGGCCCTCTTCGCACTCTTGGAACATCTAGCGTTAGACACATTCTCAAGGTTCCTAATTTCAAGTTCTCCTTGTAAGTCTAGGTTCTGCAACTCTGCTATACTACATGAAGCTTCCTTGCCAACTATGAATACTGCCAATGTTTGAAGTGACCTGAGATCACCGATTCCATTTGGCAACTTATTTAATAATCTACAATCATATAAATTCAAATGCCTGAGATTGATTAACTTTCTCATATCTTTGGGCAGCTTCTGCAGACGGGTGCAGTACTTGAGTATTAAAGATTGTAAATTGAAAAGGCTACAGACTGTATTTGGTAACCTTTTGATAAGAGTGCTAGAGAGGTCAAGATACCTTAAGTGAATCAACAAACTGATGGACTTCCATATCTTCTTTATACCAGTATTGCTTATATCTAAGGAGGGCAAGGATTTGAAGCTCAAGATCAATTTGCGAGATACTTTTGCAATCTTCCAGTGTCCAGACAGTAGAAGGAAGGATCTCAACTTGCAGGCATTTCTTGAGGGCCTTGGAATCTTATTATCCGCACAAAACACTGATAAGTGGCGTGTCCCTGTTGGAACACTCAACCGCTTGCTGACTTCTACTGTCACACAACTGCTACCAGCAACAGCTTTCGCAAGATCATGGAGAAGATGATGCATTTCACAGTCCATGATGTTCTGATCATGGTCTGTGGTTGCATTTTGGAAGAAAGAGCTCCATAGTAATTCATTAAAGTATTCATTTCCAACTTCTTCCGGCGACTTTCCTGGAGGTACTTGGATAAATCCTTCTGCTGTCCATAGAAAAATGAGTTTATCCTCATTTATCCTGCAGTTCTTAGGAAACAGTGAACAATAGGCAAAACATTGTTTCAGATGTAATGGCAGACTATCATAGCTTAGTCTTAAAACGGGGTAAAATTCCATTTTCTTCCTCCACTTGCTGCCTTATCTCGCTATCTTTAACAAATAAGCACTCACTTTTTTTCCCTCTCAAATGCATCAAACTTCCTAAAGACTTTGCTGCTAGAGGTACACCCCTGCACTTCTTTGCAGTTTCTTTCCCAATTGCTATGAAACTTGAAATCTCCTGGTCTTCCAGACTTGAATGCTCGATGCTCAAATAGTAACCAGCAATCTTCATCTGATAATCCCTCCAAATGGTAGGGAGCAAAGGTGCCTGCAACCAACGCAACTTTCTCACTAGGGGTTGTTACTAACTACTAAGATCTTGCTGCCTACAGAACCATGCCTATCTGAATTCTTCAATCTGTCCCATTTTTCTTGATCATCATTCCATAAATCATCCAAAACTAGTAAAAACCTGTGTCCCTGTATCAGTTCTTGAACGCGGCGGTGAATTGATTCCGTTTCCTGAAGATCACATCGCTTCCCAGTTGTAGATTCAATAATTGCTTTCATTAGTCGCTTTACATCAAAGTCCTCAGAGACACAAACCCAAATTCTACATTCAAAATTCTCCTGCACCCTCTCATCATTGTAGACCAACTTGGCAAGCGTTGTCTTAGCTAACCCACCGATTCCAACCACAGGAAGCACTGACACGTCTCTTTGATCAGCTGAGCTCAGCAGAAGGGTCACAATCTTTTCTTTGTCT